CCCATCGAAATCAACATTCCAAGTCACTAAAATTATGTAAATGTTTGAAAAAGACAAGGAATTCATTATTAGACCTCCATTCGGCCTAATAATCAAAGTAGCGTATGTGACAAATCATTCTATTTATCTATTTATTCCTAACAGTTGCTTGGCATTATGCTTTGCCTAAAACTAACATCCTATTCATTCTGCCTGATTAGCAATAAAAACACCAAAGAAGCTCAGTAGTTAAGAGATTCTCACGAAATGCAATACCCCAAGTTAAGCTAAATTATTAAATCGTATTCTGAATTAGTATATGATTAGATATGAAGCTTTATTTTATTCCTAATCACCAGAATTCGGATGGTGATTAAACGTATATACCCCGTTTTGATCAAGGGTTGATTTATGACATCTGTGGAACCTAGTCAAGGGGGTACTTAAGAAATTCAATGTATTTGGTCAATGATCTGACAAATTATTCGCTTTTCCCCTCGACAAAGCTACGTTTGTCGTTTTGTAAGTCGATTGAAATATGTTTGAGTAGAAAGTCAAATAATCCAATATTGTCTATGAAGTAAACACATTGCCTGTCACTTCCAGCCCAACCAATTCCAAAATGAGGTGATAAAACTAAATAATCCTAGTTAATATTACTTACTTTCAATGACTAAACAATTATATATCATCCGCTGACTGGTTTTATGCGTTCATGTAAAAGATAGTTTAATTCAGACAGACTTCCATACGACGTCTTAGCCGGTTTGAAATACGGCCTTCAAGCGGGAAAACATATCCCAGTATGGGTCATCAGTGTATATGCTTCAAAACTTAGAAATGATTGGTATTAGTATTACACCCTCAACCGAGCTAATTTCCGAAAATGTCCCACTTTATAGCACTAATCAGGCGTTTGACAATTGTAGGTTTGGGGATTCAATAACTATATTGATCGAACTGCCCGATTCTAGGTTATTGAAAGCAATATTTACAATCCCCTATGCTGACAGTTATCATGTACTTATCGATATAAAAAAATTTCGGGTTCTAGCAAAACGCTCTAACTATTAGGATTGGATCACGTTGAGTACATGAGAAATATCACGAATGGGAATAGTCGCATGATATCATGAAATGACTGATCTAAACCGCTGGATCTTGACTCAGCGTTCTAGAAGTTAAGCATTGTCCGCGAGATCTGGAGATGTTGCGTTTGGTCCCTATTAAGATTGTAAATACTCTCTTCTGAAGAGCTTCATTCCAGAACAAAGCAACTGTCTAATGCCTCTTGGTTTTTACCGGTTGCCTAACTAAGATTATCACGTATCGTCAAACTGATAACTGCAAAGTACTCATTTTAGGTTTTATACGAACTTTCCTGATGTAATTATTACATGAAAGAGATAATTGCGAAACGAATTTTTGCAATCTATTGTTGTAATTTTTTAGACACAAAAGGAACAAACTTGTTTTATATCCATCAAAATCTGTGCCAGTCTCGCCTGAGAAAGAGAAGAGAGAGAAAATGAAAGGTTAGCCTTGCATGAAAGTTTGTGACAGCTTATTTTTCGTCTATAAGAGGTTCATCAAATTAAGTTTGGCATATTTATAAATCCAGTTTGTTGTTATGTATGGAATAATATTAGTTCACTCGTTGAAATAAATTGATGCAGCTTTGTAAGATATATGATTACACATGACCAAGTATCTATGGAAGCCAAACTGTCTATGTAAGCGGATGAGAGAGAAATTTACCTAAAGTGGAATTAGGGCAACAATTACATTTCCTGTATTGATAAACAACTAAGAGATGAAGACATAACTACATACTGTACCACAATGACTGATTTAATCTATATTATCTGGATTGCCCAACTATTGATTTCAGGTCCGTCCAGATGCGATCTAGCAAGACCATAGTTGAGTTACGTTTGTAGCGCAAATTGACGTGTGTGAACTATGGGACTGAAATAATTATTTCATCTTTATAACCAACTCGCCTGTTACTGGAGTGTACATTTTGTAAGAGAATTTTCAATTCATCCTTCTGATTGTAAATAAAGTGTCATTTATGTGTACAGCATTTGCACACATTGATATGGCAACGTCATCTATGCCATGCATCGATCCTAGCATATTACTAAGTAGTTCCATACTGGGAAGAAACAGTTATCCAATGCTTTCTGGTTTTCAATAGTTGTCTAACTAAGATCGAAGCGTGATGCAGTCTATGAAAACTCACCCATCTCTGTCAACCTCCTATAACCAATAATAATTGTTCTCTGATTTACTTAAAATATTGAGCACGTCTTTTGTTTTATTGTTGAATAAACTAACAGATAAATGTTCACTAGTGTTCTCCTTGAATTTCATAGTGAAAATGTTCCGGTTTCCTAAACTCGGTCGATTAGAACGAGCGAAGCCACGAATTTCTGGTCCTAAAAAAGTCACGCACAATCTGCACGTGGCATTTGATAAATCCACAGGAGAATTCAAGGTTAGTTGACCCATTATTTATTTTGTCATTTTACAAAGCTGTTCGAAACTTTGAAACAACTGTTATAGTAGATTTTCGGTGACCAGCGTTCAGTAAATACCATATTAACACATAGCAAGTGGGAAAACCCACTTTCGTGTTCCCATAAATGTAGTTTTACAATTATTCGTTTGTATATCATATCTACTTTGTTTCTTTAACAATTTTACTTATAAACTGTAGACATTTAGTTTTTCATTCATTCTCATTCGAAAAGTCATATGAATCAGTGGACTGTAATTAGTTTGATGTCGGGAGCCCACTATTGTTTTTATTGTGTTTATAACATAAGAGTAGTTTGAGACAGGGAAACTTTACGATATGAAATATATTCACCAGAAACATGAAGGAAGTTGATCAAAATTGTTTCAATGCTTGGAGCTGTCGAGAATTCCTCGATAACGTCTGCGAAAGCTGCGAAAAGGCTGAATACTCGGCCAGTCAGCATTGAGTAGCAAAGTCTCGCGAACATCTAGATGAACCCGAGAATTGTGGCACAGTTCGATTGTATAATTACTTGTCTGTTATTAGATTTGGTGCAGTTCCAGAAGCTTCTAGTAGGTCAAGGCCACGTATCCACTTTTAAATAAATTCGCTTTCTGTACATAAATTAAGCTTGAAGTAAAGATTCTGTTCTTACTTCAGCCCCTCTCTTAACCGTCAAGATTGAAGTGTAGAGGCAGTCTATGGATAAACGAGCGTTCAGCCAGGGGACACACCAGAATATTTTCTCAAATCATTTGTAGGCAAATATGAAAAATATTTTATACGAGAGAAAAAAATATCTAACTAACGTTTTTGTTTCTATCTCCGATTATGGTTTTTCTAAAAGGTTTTCTATTCGAATGGTTTTTTAAAGGTATTTGGTGTTCGATTTACTGTTTTTGTTCAAATTGTTACTGTTCATTTGAGTTATTGAACCGATGCACTAATTTGATTCTATTTGTTTACTTTTAACTTTGATCTATTCAGAGTTGTGATTCATGTATATGATGGTTGAATCTATGGCTTAGTCGTTCTTAACAAATAGGCAACTTACAACAACTGAGTTACACTTTCGTACACTTCAATCAGATTAATTCGGTTTGGATAGTTATAGCGATAGTTATAGTAGTCAGATGGTATGGTATATGACTAAATCTCGCTCAAAATGGTCTCTAATTTGAGTAATAGAATCTGCAATATGGTTACTGAGTTGTATTCTGTATTGAGTCTACGGTAAAATCGTTGAAACTGTTAGAATTTCTTGAATTGGTTTACATTTGGAGAGTACATATGTCTATTTTAATTTACTTAAGATTAATCATAGTATCAAGATCGCTTTGAATTATTTGTAAGATAGTCGTAATATTTGAAGTTGATTATCATGATTGTGTGAAAACTGTGATATTTAAACAAAACGAAGTTTAATTAATCTTAATTATTATGGATTAGATGTGTGTAGAACTTCACTCGGAGCAGTTCTAGGGTTACTTTCGGTCCAAAACCCGGATAAAAGATGAGAGTTGGGCACGGGGTTGGCGACCCCATTCCGTGGAAGAAACACAAAATTGCTAACAAAAAAGGTAACCAGAAAGAGTAATCCAAAGCATTTAAATTCTGACATGGATGCTTGAAGGTCTTCGTTTAGAAGAGTTATGACACCTCACGATGAAAGCTGAGCTTCTTCGGAATTCACAAGACCGATGCTATTTCTGACAACCGGAGAAACCATTATTATAGGTACATAGAGTGTTCACACAATGTAGGAGGTCGGAAGAAATATTCAAGTTTCTGTGGAAATGAAAAAAATTGCAACCTGATGGTGCTTGGAATAAGTGAAATCCGTTGAATGCAGGTTGGATAAAAAAGTTTAGTTTCAGAGAAGAGGCTGAAGAAAACGATTCACATTTGTAGAATGGGAATCTCATGTACACAGGATCGTCAAAAGCATCCTTCAAGACAAAGAAAGAGGGAATCACAACGATTGTGATTCAGTGCTATGCGCCCACCAACGATTACAACGGAAATGATAAGCATAGAGGCAACAGTTAATAATCGAGAAATGCCCAGCGGTGTATTTAGCCATTCTGATAGGAGACCTGAACGTCACGGTTGGAATGAACAACGCAGAGTACGTGTTTTGTGGGTGCTTGTAGAATGCACTTTCTACGCGTTCTCGAGACTTCTTGATATATTTAGCCGGGAGGGGGACAAACGCATTAGAATACCCTATCGTGTCACTGCATCAATTGTCTTCGCTCCGTTTACCGAGTTATGTGAACTTGTTCAAGCATAGTTCAAGCATATGAATTGACGAGCATAACAATTGTCGACGGTGGTTGTGAAAACATGGATCCTTCGAAACCTGAATTATTATTTGAGCAGCAGCTGAAATTAATGAAGATGTTGATAGATACCAATCTGTAAAGTGACACTGGTGCGCGCTACTTATAAGTAGTATATGACGCGAGTGAAAACGTAATGTCTGGCGGCAGAATATGGGGGAAGATCTAGAAAGGAAGGGTGGAAACACAATGGAATTTTTATGATACGCATGAACAGTGAAATGTCAGACAATGGATTGATGTTTTGCAAATTAACGGTTTACTATATGGTTTTCCTATTTTACCAGTTAACTCGCGTCATATACTACTTATAAGTAGCGCGCAATACAACACAACTACGGTTCAGAGTGTTGGGTCTAGTGGACCTGAAGTACGTGTAGTGCAACAGCCACCTAACCAGAATAAATGTGCCCCTGCTATACCCTATCCACCTCCCTGCAGCTCAATCTGACAGACGAAGCCGAATGCCCCTGCCCCTTGCTATTACTGTGGTTCTTGGCACCATAGGCGAAACTGCCCATTTGAACAACATCGATGCAAGAAGTGAGAGGTGCTGACATAACCTCAGATCACCACTTGCTGGTCCCCAAAAGACACTGAAACTAAATAAGCACTGGACAATGGGGCAAACAACATCACAGAAGTTTAAAACGGCGTTTCTTCGGGATACCGTAAAACTCAACGAATTCAAATACAAATAAAGAAGCATAATAAAAGCGCAGTCACAGAAAATGTCAATAAAGAGTAATAGCAATTTCTTTATTTGAATCACTGTTCAGATCGAAAATCAGTCATTAGTTCATTGAAAATTCTGACAATATGTTGAACTACAAAATTGTATCACATGCTTCAAACTATATCCATGGAATACAAATTTGAGTATAAAACTAGGATGATACTTATTGTGTATGCTGCTATCGACTATGACTAAAGTGTTTTTCTCGACTATATTTTCCTGTAGAATATTAAGCACAATTGAAAGTTTAATTATGCTTCCCATGTTTCTCGTGAAACCTATCATCTGAAAAAATGTGAATTATTAAATGTAGTAGTAATTCATCCATTAGTCCATCTATTCAACTGTTCTAAACGGTAGGGATAAAGAATCAACAACAATAATTTTATCAACTTGAGAGTGAAATGTTTGTGAGTATATGAAACTAGGGGGAAGAGAAATACACCTTCAAGTGAAAACTCATTATTTTTATAGAGTTACTTCTTTCGCCGATATTCGGTCAATTTATTTTTCAGAAAAAAAATATATGATTGGCTATTTAATCACGACCTTTTCCATCCTTTCTTCGTTCATTTTACATGTTTGATTTTCAAATGTCATTCGGTATTCTTCAATTCAATTCAATAAGTATCATTCTATGTTGTGAGACAGATAATTGCATTGTTTTTCTCTTATTACCATTGTGTATTGAATCGATTTATTTTGTTTTCTTAAGATAACTCATCTAATAACATTGGTTTTTGCGGAAATAATTTACATCAATATGAAATCTATCAGAAATGTTTTTAAATAAAGAAATATACATGTTCATGCTGTTGTAAAATCAATCAACTGAGTTGTTGTATGTTTGTTTGTCTTTAATTTTCTGATAATAGTAATAATATCAAATGATCGAATTCGTTTTGTTATTTCTCTTGTATTAATGTTGATTGTTTACCTTGTTGGAGTGAATAAAGTGAATTGTGTTGACCGTGACACCTTGTGATTTTTTTAAGGGTCTTCCGATTTCGTGGCAGATGCTTTTAACAGCAACAAAAATATCAGGAATGGAACAAGAAAAAAATCCGGAAATCCTTTCTGGTGTACTACAGAGTTTTGATGAATCAGTTAAACAGAAAGATAAATATATGACAAATGTATCTGTCATTCCGAGTATGTTATTTCATTCTTGTGTGGATAGCAATAGTAGCGGTCGTGGTAGCAGCTGCACCACTAATAGTGGCAGTGGTATGAATAGTAGTGAGAACAGTCCTACAAGTATTCTCCCTCCTAGTATGTCACTATCTCAATTGCCGTTACAATATAACAACTGTTGTTCATTTGTCTCCTATCCACCGTCACCGCAGTCTGGTCCACCCCATGCAACTGTCGTATTGAGAGATTTAGATTTTGCTGAAAGTTGTAACAATAATTCTGAACTCGGCAGCAGTATTAAAGAAGCAGGTACTTTATGGCATACATATTTACATCATAAGACCATCGCCCAATCGCCCACGTGTTTGCCATTTCAAGGGGGTAGATTTGTTCCAGAATCTTGCATGATGGTTGGAGAGTCTACATCTGTTGACGAGGATGAGGATGCTAAAGATGGAGATGACGAACAGGAAGAGTATGAAGAAGAAGGTGAGGAGTTAGGTGAAGATAAGGACAAGAGTGGGAATCAACAAAGTGGACTGAACAATCGTGAAATGACTACATCTGAGGTGGCTGTTAAATGGATGACAAGCGGTGGAACTTGTGGTGATCTCCCTATTCCAATGAATATGTGCAAGGTATGCTTAATAACGAATAAAGTGTACATTTCCTAAAACGTTATATACATATTTTTGCTTGTTTGTTCTATCGTCTAGGTAGTGGAGCTCATCGACATGGTGGAGAAAATATGTAACTCAGGTGATGATGATGTGACGGAATTTCATTCTGTGAGCTGGATGTTTTGGTTGTGGAGCTTTCATTGTTCTTCTAAGCAACATCATCGTCACGAACTTTGAAAACATCTACCTGAAGTTTGTGTTGATGATGTTGTTCAAAAGAACAATGAAAGCTGTACAACCAAAACATCCAGCTCAGAGAACGAAACTCCATCACTGTAGAGCTGATCCGTTTTCTTTGCGAAGATTTGATGTATCTTGTAAAGTGTGGAACCATCCTGTGCACTGTACATACAAAATGAGATCGGATGTCTTACTGTTATAATATTTCCAATTTAACATGGTGAAGTTCACTGATTTCAAGTCTTAATATTTGGCCTCTTTAACATTTGTGTCCAGCCAATGCTTTATGTATCGCATCGTACTGTCATACCATATGATTTGACCATAGATAGAAATAATATAATGATATTTAATGAGTAATAGGGTATAGAAATAAACCATTATCAAATAATGTTTTATTGATAATTTAGGTTTTTCATACTTTCTAACTATATTTACAAAATTTATTACAGGCATCTAGAAATGGTGTAACCGGTGAAGCTTTTGGTAACCGAAATGGTGTAACCGCCCATAATAAAACTTCATCAACGAACAGTGGGAGTGTTGTGAATTCGGTCAATGTTAGTAAGTAGATTTTGAGAATTTCAGTATTGTCAAATTTACACGTATGTACTAGTCGATGACAGTAATTCACAAATAATTACCTCTCTCAAAACACATTTATACACTTCTGTTGTGGAGGTTTTGCCGAAATTCTTCCATTTTGACGAAAATTAATTATTCACATTATAGTTTCCCATTCAAATGATAGTATGCTAATTTTGATGACATTTACCTACTCATGAATCTGCTTATTCCTTCTAGGTAAGGGCAGTGGAACATCGAAGACTATTCAGTCACCAACTCCCGATAAAAGTGTACTACCAGCTGTTCCAGTCAAGCCACAAGATCCAACACATGTGTTTCGCACACAACAACAAACTGAAATACACCAATCCCCTCATTACTCTCCACACCAATCTCCTAATAATAAAATGGATTCCGACAAGACTGTTGGGATGACCGCATCAGAAGCCGTAGTAGCAACAACAACGACTACTACTACTAATACTTTTGAGAATGCAATCAAATCGACTATACCTAGTACACCTAAACGTCGTATGAGAAATCAATTAACGGATCAACAGGTACTCGATAAATTGAGAACTATTGTAAGTGAAGGTGATCCGTATCAGAAATATCGTATGGTACATAAAATTGACCAAGGGTAGGTATTTTTTCGAATTTCTTGAAGTGAAACGACCTCAGTGTTTTGTTTAGTTCTAGGAAATAGGTTTCTCGGGGTCTGTCTAATTACATAATCTAAATACCATTACTTATAGGCTTGCGGTAACGATCAGAATGGAACAGTGTTATATTCTTCAAACAGTAGATTCAAATTACTAAGCAACAACAACTATTTGAATAACAATGAGCGAGCTGTTCTTATTGTGTGTGATTTTTTAGTACTAGCATTTCACTGGAATCCTTCTGAGTAGAGTGCTTACTTAATTCACCGGTAAACAGACGGACATTTATACAATACATTATCAACCTACTTAAATTGCACTATGGTTATAAGTAGAGATTCTGATGAATAAATATGTACGGTTTGCGTGATCCTGTCACACTCCCTGCTATTAATGAAAACCTTTAGGAAGTAAATTCTGGGTTTATTTAGAACGGACGGATTATGGCTGAATGTGGAATGCAACAGACTTGGGATTCATCCTGGCCACAATCTATCTATTCTAAATAACTCATATCATAATGGGTATATCGAAGCCGTCGTCACGGAATGTACATGCACTAAAATAAGAATAATAAAAATTTATTCCTGAATATCAATGGGACAACTCAAACCTTTCTTAATGATGATGTTTGTACGTTTTAAGTAGTATATCTCGAAAACTGAAAAAAGTTTACTGCTTTGTCTGAAACAAAACTACATCGTTTTGCACTAATGTAAAGCGTGACTGAAACTTGAGTTCCATGTCTTCTATTCTGTTTTAAAA